CGTCGTCCGTCCTCGGCCTTTCTCCTCCCTTCCTATTCCTGACAGAAGGGTTTAGCTTAACGGATATCTGTCTTATCGATGTCTCATCCCGCCTCCGCTCTCCCTGAGCAGAGTGAACTTGAGATCTTAATTCCTTTGTCATATTACCCCGATTCCCAGAGGAAAGACTTGACGACAGTGCCAGCATTAGGGAGACGAGCGTTCATAAAATGTGGCGTGACTACACAGAATGGCCTTCTCAAAAGGTGGAGAGGAGTGCCTCCCCTATTCCTGTTTTCTATCGAGCGTGCCAGGGACACCCCACTTTCGTTGCTTCAATTGAGAGAATGTGTGTGCCTTATGGCCCTGGCCAAGCCAGGAGTCATGGGCCCCTCCTCCATATCGCCGACATGCAGACACTATTAGAATCCACGGTCGGAGAAGTCCAGTTCCCTAAAAGAGACTCGGGACTTTGCCTCGAGGCAGACTACGAATTGCTGAGGCTCCCCCCGACCCAGAAGGATCCAAACATGCGAGGAGAAGATCATCTTCCTTCGCGGCTAAGCCAGCGGAGGTATGGCGACCCTGCCCCTGCGAGGAAGTTTGTGGCCATGGGCAATATCGCACGGCAAGGAGAGCCGCCATCAGTCGGAGCATGGCCCGCAGAGGACACAGTCCGTCTGTGGGATCAGCTTCCAACTCACAGAGAGTCCTGGCCGTTAATTCTTGTTTTCGGCGGCCGGGTGCTCACCCGTTTTTCGTGCGGGATTTGCCAGGATGGGACTCTTGTGTCCCGTGAGGTGCCGAGGTTCACCGATGCTGACAAAGCCGTCACCCTTGTCAAAGTCAGCGACTGGCAGGACCCTAGAGAGAAGCAGATGTCTTGGTCCATCGTCTTCAACCATGAATGGGCATCATATGAGGTAGATGTTGGTGACAACGCAATGCTCGGTTGGATTCATACTGACGAGACTTTGTCTTTGATCCAAGGCCATGTGCCTCAGTTGCTTCCCACAGCGCAAGAATTTGTTCAGTCTGTCCCATGGGAGGACGATGGTCGGTTCCTGTGCGCTAACTTGCACTGGGTGCGAACTGGCTTTGGACATTACCCCTCCTGTAGCAATCCGATCAGGTACAAATACAACGTTGCTCACGACTACTTGCTTCAGACATACCGACATAACGTCATTCCAGATTTACTTGAGAGATGGCATTTCGTTGCATGTTGTCACCCCCCATGAGCTCCCTCGCGTGCGCGACGCTTGGGTTGGCGCGCGAGTAGAAAGACAGCGGAGAGCTTCGGCAGATGTAATATACAACATCAACAACAATCTGCAGCAGGAGCGCAAGTGGGCAACGAATGATAGCTATATGCGCTTGGCTGCTTCGGGTCAAACCTTTGGAAACAGCCGCACAGGTCGTGTTCCTGCCTGGATTCCTGACCACGCCGCGGCCCAGCCGCCGGCGCGTCACGGTCCCTTCTTTCAGTACCTTGAGCCTCTGAAGAAGCGATTCATCAAATGGCTCGCACACTTGGCTGAGAGACAAGCGACCAAAGCTCCCACGATCGCAGGCTGGTGGCCCTTGCTTTGGTCAACGGACATTGACCAGCACGCGCGCCCAACGTCTTGTCCTGCTCTGGCTGCCTTTGAGTGGCCAGAGGAACCTGACACACGCTATAAACCACTGGAAGGTTGGATCAGATGGGAGCGCAGAATGAACAATATGAGCATCTTTGCGCCAACGCTTCGGACATTGCTCATCTCACAAGCGGGGGCAGCACCTTGGCTGCCCGTTGACCAGGACAACGCCATGGACGTCACAGGGCCCAGCCCTCGTGGCCGTCCACCGGTTGCGTGGGCAAATAGTTTTGTGGCACGACCTCGTCGTGCTTCCCAATCCGTTAGCAGGCGTATCAACTCATGTTCCGATCGCCGTCTTGTTTCAGTGCATAAACATACCGAACCTGCCGCCGGTCCAACCGCGACGGCAGGTGAGGATAATCTACACGTGACACTTGATTTCACTGCAGTCTGCGGGTCCAAGACCGAGCAGATAATTGATGGGAGGATCGACCTTGATCAACCCAATGGGTATACGTATTCCCACTGCGACGACAAATCGTTGAACATCACATTGACCCAGGGCGGAGCCAAATAAGTGGCCGCCCAATACGTCATGGAATACAACAGCTTCCGCCCGGAGACAAGCGACCCTGATAGGTTACGACTGTCGGGTGAGGTAACGCATGAAATCCCGGATGGTGTGCGGGACATGAATTGCAACTGGATGGTTCTTGTATCAGAACTGCAATTGGGTCTTCCCATTGTGCGTGTGATTGTGATCACTCGCGAGATCATTCGTTGCTTCATCGCCGACGGACATTGCATTGCATACCCTGGGAGTAACTTTCTTGCCCAGGGCGCCGGCGTAGATTGCGATCATGACAAGCGCCAAAAAGACGCATACGCCCTTGACTGCCGCATTAGTGCCGCGATTGAAACGGATGACCTCGTTGAGGAATGGGCCCGTGACTTCCTTCTGTGAAGGCCAGATAGTCAGGGTTGAGTTGCCTGGCTCGACATCTTCTAGCAAATGCAGCAACCGTGCTTGAAGCCAGACACAGTGTCAAGAGGGAGCTCACAGAGCGCTTTACACGTGGTGTTTTCCTTACGTCGGAAACAAAGGTGTCGTTCGTGTCAACGTCGGCCTGCCCCGCGTCGCGCTGGAGACGGAGCGGGCCACGGGCGCCTGCAGCCATTAAGGCAAGCGCGCCCCCGGACAAGAGACACCCCACCATAATGGGTGCACGCGGCCCGTGGGGGTGGGCACATCATTCAAAGATGCTTGTGCCCTTGTTACAGTGTTTCGACAAGTTGTATTCGCTGTCACATTCTCCATATTCCGTTCACTTGCGACCAAAGGAGCATCCCAAGACCAAGATCATGCCGTGGCCGTGGCCGTGGCCGATTATATTTCACTTGTGTTGACATGTCGTTGCTTTAAGAATCCTTCCATTCAGAGTTGGCGCGTTGTTGCATTCGTTGTGATATGACAGGCAAATAACTGGTTGTCAGCCGAAAGTCCCTCCAAGACCTCGTCTTCGGCGGTGCGGCATTTTTCCCGTCAGCCAGAGTGCAGCGGTCGCTTTACCAAAGAGGGGGCTTCGCACGCGCGCTCTGATTGTGGTGCCCGAGAACCAGGATACGAAGTCGGCTCCGCCGCCCTGTGCCCCAGTCAGTGCTCTGGTCACGGGGGCGGGGGGTCGGACACCCAAGGAAAAAAGGGGGCACTTGCGGCCAAGCCGCCTGGCGCCGACGATGTCGCGAAAGAGGGGGCAGTCGTTTCCTCCCTTCTGTGAAGGCCAGATAGTCAGGGTTGAGTTGCCTGGCTCGACATCGTCTGGCAAATACAGCTACCGTGCTTGAAGCCAGACACAGTGTCAAGAGGAAGCTCACAGAGCGCTTTACACGCGGTGTTTTCCCCACGTCGGAAACAAAGGTGTCGTTCGCGTCAACGTCGGCCTGCCCCGCGTCACGCTGGAGACGGAGCGGGCCACGGGCGCCTGCAGCCATTAAGGCAGGCGCGCCCCTGGGCAAGAGACACCCCACCATAATGGGTGCACGCGGCCCGTGGGGGTGGGCACATCAATCAAAGATGCTTGTGCCCTTGTTACAGTGTTTCGACAAGTTGCATTCGCTGTCACATTCTCCACATTCCGTTCACTTGCGACCAAAGGAGCATCCCAAGACCAAGATCACGCCGTGGCCGTGGTCGTGGCCGTGGCCGTGGCTGTGGCCGTGGCCGTGGCCGTGGCCGTGGCTGTGGCCGTGGCCGCGGCCGCGGCCGTGGCCGTGGCCGTGGCCGTAGCCGATTATATTTCTTTTGTGTTGACATGTCGTTGCTTTAAGAATCCTTCCATTCAGAGTTGACGCGCTGTTGCACTTGTTGTGATATGACAGGCAAATAACTCAACGAGCTCGCTATCTGGGAAGGGGATCTCGCCGCTGCTGTGGAGCAACCTCAAGGCCTCCTGGGGGCCGACGCTGTGCGCCGTGGACGCGTCTCCGACCGGTTTAGGGGTCTGCTCGTCGGCCATCTCCGTCGAGGAAGCTCGAGGCTTGGGGAGGCACTGCGAGCGCTGGCGTTTCTCTCGGGGCGCCCGTCTTCCTCCGCGTCTGCAGGCTGCCGCCGCTGCCGCCGTGTCCGACGACCCCGAGGTGCAGCGGCTGTCCGGGGCGCACGACAATGGGTCTGGGGGCCTCTGGGACATCGACGGGGGGCCGCATCATGCAGGTAGTGCCGCTGACGTCCTGGGTTCTGGACTCGGTGACGCCCGTGGGGATGTGTTTCGCGAAGCACCCCTGGATCTGTTGAAACGGGACTGGAAGATCGTGGGCCGCTACAGGTGGAACATCGAGGAGCCGATGCCGATCCTCGAGGGGCGTGCCCTCTTGTGCGCGCCCTCCGACACGCCTTGAGGAGTGCTCAGAACTTCGGGCGGCGGATCGCCGTCTTGGGGGGCGCTCGCGTGGCCACCTGTGCAGTCTCGAAGGGGCGTTCGGATTCCAGGGCCATGTTGAGGGTCACTCAGTCGGTCGCTGCTCTCTGTCTGGCCACTGGGCGCGCGCTGCACTGCCGGCGGCTTCCCTCGGAGTGGAACGTGGCCGACGGCCCCTCGAGGGGGCTCGCCGCCCCCTCGGTGTCGCAGCCGCTGTCTCTCCCGGAGCACCACGAGGTGGAGTGGCTTCGCTCGGCCGGGCAGGCCCCGCCCGCCCCGCGGCCTGGCCCGCGGCTGGCGGCGATGCTGCCGCGGGCGACGCCCTCGACCGACCCCCCCTCGAGTGGGTCGGGTTCGAGGCCAGCGGCGATGGGCAGCCGGGCCCGCGCGCCGCCTGCGGGGGCCCCGCCTTCGTCAACGGGGTCTCCTTCGCGGGCTGCCCCCAGCTCCGGGCCTTCGGCCGCCCCCCGCAGGGCGCCGCGCGCTCCGGCGCGAGCCCCCCCCGCGGGGCGCCAGGCAGGCCCGGGCGAAGGAGGCGGCGAGGCGGCGAGCCGCGGCGACTGCGGCCGACGGGATGACAGCGCGTCAGACGCACTGGGTCCGCCCGACCCGGTGCTGGCGCAGTTCTTGGACGAGATCCACTTCGACGGGGCGCATCTCTGCTTGGGACAGCGCATGCTCGCCGCGGCGCCGTTCCACCAGCCCCCCCTGAGCAGGGCGGGGGGCGCGCGGGCGCCGCGGGGCCGCCGCGAGGCTCCAGGGCTGGCAGCGCCTGGCGCCCGCGGGCTCCAGGCTCGGGGTGCCGCGCGAGGTGATGTGCACGATCGCGATGTGGATGTGGCTGCGCGGCCTCTTGGAAGGGGAGTCTCGCGACGTGGCTGACGATCGAGTCGAGATGTTCCACCGCCCGAACGAGCCGTTCACCCTCCGCGCGAAGGACCTGGCGCCCCCCGTGGCAGGGGCGCGGGCGGGCGGGAGCTGGGTCGCTGACGCTGCGTGCCCGCGAGCGCGAGGTCGCCTCCAAGACCGAGGAGGTCGACCAGGCTCAGCTCTTGGACCTCGAGCGGCAGGCGGGCCTCGGGCCGGCCCTGGCCACCCCGCTGGAGGCGCGCTTCGGTGCCCAGTGGCGACAGTCGGTGCTGAAGCGGCCTGCGGGGGCTGCCTCGGCTCCGCCGCTGTTCGCGATCAGCGGCAAGCAGGCGGGTCAGGTCTTCGGGGGGGCCGCGCAGGCGCTGGGGCCCCGGCGCGCGGGCGCGGTCTGCCGCTGCCAGCTTCGCCGCGGCGGCGCAAGCCACGACGCGGCGACCGGTGCCGGGGTGCTGGGTCAGATCCGCCACAGGGGCCGCTGGCGCGCCCACGGCAGCCTCCGCCGGTGCGAGAAGGGCGCGCGGCTCGGCGAGGTGCTCAGACGTCTGGCGCCCCTTCTGCGCGCCCACGCGCTGCGCTGCGCCGACTTGCTCGCCGCGGTCGCGGCCGGGCGTCGCAGGCCCTTCGCGAGCCCCTGAGGATGCCGGTCTTTATTGAGATCTTCTCCGGCCCTGGCAGGCTCGGGCGCGCTGCAGCACATGAGGGCATGCAGGCGCTGTGATGGAACATCTCGTTCGGCGACGCTGATGGCCTGACGTTAGGCAAGAATCAGAACTTACTGATGGGCTGGCTGTCGGGCGGGTTCATCATCGGGTTCCACGTTGCGCCACCGCGCCAGACCTTCTCCCGCGTCCGCGATCGGGGAAACGGGCCGCCGCCGCTGAGGAGTGACGCCTGGCCCCGGGGGCTGCCCAGCCTTCCAGCCGCCCTGCAGCACAGAGTGACGCTTGCCAATAATCTCACGCGTTTCGCCTGCCGCTTGTGTCGTGAGGCTATTATGCGTCGGGCCCCCAGGTCCCGGGAGAATCCGCGCACCTCGCGTCTTTGACTGTGTAATTCAATCGTTGCTCTTACTCGGCGAAATAATGTGATTAGTGTGTGCACTGATTTCTGCATGCGGGCCGGGCCTTTTAAATCCACCACGTTCGTCTCCTATCTGGTCAATCTCTCTGGGCTTGCTGCTCGCAAGTGCTTCGGCAGCCGCCGGATGCGTGCCCGTGCAGGTGAGGCCCATCAGCAGTTAGTTGCAGACGTAAGGACGGTGTGTTTTGGATCAAAGCTGCTGAACCATACCCAGCCCCTATCTGCGGTTTCATTGCGAAGCGGTTCTGGGTTGTTTTTGCTGCGCGGGCCGCGCAGAAATTTGGCAGTTTCCTGTCTGTTGCTTAAAGTCCTGGCGATGCCAGTTGGCACTCGTGCAAGTATGGCGTTTTCTAGCTTGACGGCGCAGTCTTGGCAGTGCGTGTGGCCGAAGCCACACACTTGTGATGTGGGTACTGTAACTCGTTGCCTGCCCGCCCACTCGTTCGGGTCGGTGGCGCCACTGCATTTAAACGCTCATCGCCGTCTGGCCTCGAACGGAAGCCTGAACAATTTCAGTTACCTTAACGCGTTTTGCGGAGCATGAGTGGGTCGGGCCGCCTTAACCGTTTGGGCTCAAGGCGCCCACCACGCCCGCCCTTTTTTCGCCTTGAGCAGTGCGTGTGGCTGAAGCCACACACACACACACACTCGTGATGTGGGTATTGTAACTCGTTGCCTGCCCGCCCACTCGCTCGGGTCGGTAGCGCCACTGTGTGTAACAAACTCATCGTCGTCTGGCCTCGAACGGAAGCCTGATAAATGATGATGACGATGATGATGATGATGATGACGATGATGATGATGATGATGATGGCTGAGCGGACTCTGAGGATGTTTAGAGCGAGGCGCGGGTTTGAGCACCCCCAAGGGGGAGCCGCCAGGGGGTATCTTATTCCTCCGTTCGCGCCACAACTGCGGGGATGTTTCGAGCGGTTTGCTTGATTGTGCCCTCGACATTTTCCGCGTTCGAAGCAGATTTGGAGGATGTCTCGAACGAGGCGCTGATTATCGCACCCCTGGTGGCCCAGATTGCGAGGATGTCTCGAACGGGTTGCTTGTTTTGTTGGCCAGACCCGTGGGCGCGGATCATCAGGATGCTGGCTCCAGCAGGTTCGAGGAGGCCGCAGGAGGCCACATGATGTCCCAGGAGGCACCAGGAGGCCACAGGAGGCCACAGGAAGCCCCAGGAGGCTACACAGGAGGCTCCAGGAGGCCCCAAGAGGCTCTAGAAGGCAACAGGAAGCACCAGGAGGCCACGCGAGGCCCCAGGAGTCCACAGGAGGCCACAGGAAACCCCAAAGGCCACAGGAGGCCCCAAGAGGCCCCAGGAGACCCCAGGAACCCCCAGGAGGTTCCAGGAGGCCCCAGGAGGCCCCAGGCTCATGCGCAGAGACGCACTAGTACGACTAAGATTCATTCACATTCCAAATTATTCACGGTCAGATTCACTCCCAGACTGTCAATACTCAAGCCCGCGTCTATTCGAAAGCTCTTGAGCCTAGACACTCACGGCGGACAGGTCCATGCTAATAGATGCACATATGGGGAGCTCCAGACAGTGAGCCAATTACTCCGTGTGTTACGCTATGTAATGATATGTTACGAGATGCGATGTTATGTTATGATGGTGGTGATGATGACGACGACGGTGGCAATAATGATGATGTTGCTGCTGCTGACAATGGCGATGACGATGACGGTGATGATGATGATGATGATGATGATGATGATGATGATGATGGTGATGGTGATGGTGATGGTGATGATGATGGTGGTGATGATGCTGATGATGATGGTGATGATGATGACGATGATGATGATGATGATGATGATGCTGCTGCTGCTGCTGATGATGATGATGATGCTGATGATGATGATGATGATGATGATGCTGATGATGATGATGATGATGATGATGATGATGATGATGATGATGATGATGATGATGATGATGATGGTGGGGGTGGTGATGATGGTGGCGGAGCAAATTCTGAGGATTGTTCGAGCGAGGCGCGGGTCTCAGTACCCCCAAGGGGGAACCGCCAGGGGGTATCTCATTCCTCCGTTCGCGCCACAACTGCGGGGATGTCTCGAGCGGTTTGCCCAGTTGTGCCCACGACATTCTCCGCTTTCGGGGCAGATTTTGAGGATGTCTTGAGCGAGGCGCTGATGCTCGCATCCCAAGGGGGAGCCGCCAGGGGGTATCTCACTCTCCCGCTCGCGCCAAAATGGAGAGGATGTCTCGAGCGGTTTGCTTGATTGTGTCCCCAGCAATGTCCGCTTTCTGAGCAGATTTGGGGAATGTCTCGATCTAGGCGCTGATGTTCGCCTCCAAAGGAGGCCAACATCTGAGGATGTCTCGATCGGTATATTTGTTTTGGTGGCCAGACTCGTGGGCACGGATCCTCCCCAGGCTGCCACAGAGGGCTCCAGCAGGTTCGAGGAGGCCCCAGGAGGCATCAGGAGGCCACAGTAAGGCTCAAGAGGCCACATGATGCCCCAAGAGATTCCAGCAGGCCCCAGGAAGCTCCAGGAGGCCGCAGGAGGCTCCAGGATGCTCCAGGAGGCAACAGCAGGCCCCAGGAGGCCACAGGAAGCGCCAGGAGGCATCAGGAGGCCCCAGAAGGCACCAGGGGGCCCCAAGAGGCCCCAGGAGCAGGAGGCCACAGGAGTGGCTACAATGTTTGACGTCTGCTCTTGTAGATTGGGCCTCCCCTGGAGATCGCATCCTTGGCGTTCTACATTTGTTTCTATATATTGTCCTCCTCTTTTGTTTCCAGTCCTGTTTGGTTTACGGATGTTCCAATAGGTTGGGCCTTCCTTGGGGCCCGAGTCGTTGGTGTGTTACGTGTGTTCTTATAGATCGGCCTTATCTTGCGGTTCCAACCCGACGTTTTTTGCATGTGTTCCTATATGGTGGTCTTCCCTTGGAACACGAATCCTCCACAGGAAGCCCCAGGAGTCTCCATGAGGCTCCAGGAGGCCACAGGAGGGGCATCAGGAGGCCACAGGAAGCCCCAAGAGGCCCAGGAGGCCCCCAGGGGCTCCAGGAGGCCCTAAGAAGCCCCAGGAGGTTTCAGGAGGCCCCAGGAGGCCCCAGGCTCATGCGCAGAGACGCGCTCGTAGTATTGAGACTCATTCACACCATTCACAGTTAGATTCACCCCCAGACCGTCAATACTCAAGCTCGCTTAAGTTCGAAAACTCTTGCGCCTAGACACCCACGGCGGACAGGTCCATGCTAATAGATGCACAGATGGGGCGCTCCAAGCAGAGAATGATTACACGACGTGAGGGGGTCCTGGAAGGAAGACCCTGACTCTGGATCCACCGCAACTTGGGTAATATCTTATATGTACCCCATAGACCACCCTTCGGGTGATAAGGAGGTGAGGGGGGGGAGGGACCACCGTCGCACTCGATCGATATCACTATCGATCTCATTATCGATCTCACAGTCGATATGGCTATCGATCTCACAATCGATCTCACATTCGGTCTCACTATCGATCTCACTATCGACACCACAACCGATCTCACAATCGATCGCACATTCGGTCTCACTATCGATATCACTATCGATATCACTATCGACACCACAACCGATCTCACAATCGATCGCACATTCGGTCTCACTATCGATATCACTATCGATATCACTATCGATCACATTCGATCGATCTCACAATCGATCTCACTATCGATCTCACGATCGATCCCACATTCGGTCTCAATATCGATCTTACTATCGATGTCACAATCGATCTCACAATCGATCTCACTATCGAACTCACTATCGAAGTCATTCTCGATCTCTCGTTCGGTCTCACTATCGATCTCATTATCGATATCACAATCAATCTCACAATCGATCTCACATTCGGTCTCACTATCGATCTCACTATCGAACGCATTATCGATCTCATTATCGATCTCACAATCGGTCTAACTATCGATATCACTATCGATATCACACTCGATAGTGAGATCATCATCGTCATCACCTCTCACCATCATCATCACCATCATCATCTCCATTATCATCTCTCAGCATCACCATCATCATCATCATCATCATCATCATCACTGTCGTCATCATAATCACAAACATCAACACCATGAAGGCCATCATCACCATCAGCATCGCACAATCGATCTCACATTCGGTCTCACTACCGATATCACAATCGATCTCGCAATCGACGTCATCATCATTATCATCATCATCACCATCATCATCAACATCAACATCATCATCATCAGTATCACCATCATCATCATCATCATCACCATCATCATCAGAATCATCATCATAATCATCATCATCATCGGGACACCGACGGGACACGGACGGGACACCAGCGGGACACCGGCGGGACACCGCGGGGCCCCGGCCGCCCGGAAGGAAATCATTTGGTCCGGCCGCGCTTCAGCCACACGGGACACCAGCGGGACACCGGCGGGACACCGCGGGGCCCCGGCCGCCCGGAAGGGAATCATTTGGTCCAGCAGCGCCTCAGCCACACGAGACTTTCTCTCGCCCGCCCACGCAGCTTCGCCTCGCCCGCACGCACGGCACGCACGAACACGAAACCGAAATCGATTTCCCGGTAGGGGGGCTCTCCGTTCCCTTTCGATCTCACCCCTTCACCTCCGATAATTTTGCCGGACACGTACCCCAATCAATGCGAGAACGTACGGCGGACATTTCCGCCTCAGAAAGAAAAATATGACTTCTATGTCCGTAAAGGTTTGGCGAACACAACGGCGGCTAAGCAGATCGGAAGTTGACGTCAATGGAGCTTGAAAATTAGAGCTGACGTCTCCACCCTACTTGCGAAAGTTCTATAAGCAGGGTGTATTTCGGAGTCAGGGAATGGGGGGCAGTCGGCGGCAGAGCAGCAGTGGCGTGAAAAACTTGTCTGGAGCCCTGGGCCCATCTTTCTGCGGCATGTTTGCGAGGCGGATCGGTCCGTGAGGGCTAGGTGCCCGAAACAGGGCAGAATCGGAAATTGTGGAGAAAATGCGACGCCAGGATCTCAGGATGTTCGCAATGAAGAGGAGCGGAGACGGCGGCGGAGCAGCAGCAGCAGCAGAGGCCGCGCGCGCCCGCGGGCAGGAGCGGCAGCTGATGGCACTCTGCTCCGAGCTGAGCGGCGGCAGCCGGACCGCCTGGGAGGGCCACCGTTGCAGGCCGCTTCGGAGAGGCGCCTCGTCGTCGCGAATCGATCAGAGCACCAACTTATGGAGGCAGGGGGTGTTCAAGGGTAATTCCTGATTCGGCCTCCCGGCTTGGCGCCGGAGGTGCCCCACATTGCACTGAGCTCGAGTTCCCCGGATCACATGCTACCCCATGTAGGTGTCGTCCAGTATTCACGCTCTTGGAGCAGGAGCTCTTCCAGAACAAACCGCACTTGGGCGCACCAAACGAGCCCCACCTGGACCAGGTATATCCCTGATGATTCGCGTGCCCAAGCCGAGGAGCGAGTCTAGGTGGGAAGTGAGAGGGGGCAGGCCTTCTCAGAAGGCGGCGGGGCGTCTCAGAAGCCCTCGCGCCCTCTGGGAAGCCGTTTGTTGTTTCGGAGAAGGCTTAGAAGGTTTCTCAGGCACGAGGGCTTCTGAGAAGGCCTGCCCCCTCTCACTTCTCTCCTGGGCTCGCCGCCTTGAGTCGCGGAGCGAGCCCTGAGGTCCTGGCGTCGCAATTTGTCACAACGGGCGATTTTGCCTTGTCCTGGGCCCTGGGACCCTCACGGATCGATCCGGCTCGAAAAAAGGCCGCAGAGAGATGGAGTCTAGGGCTCCGGTCGTGATTTTTGAAGATTTTGCAATTTTGTCGTGACGTCAAACGTTCCTGGACGTTGGACGGTCTTCGGCCTTTTTGGGGTCTCCAGGAGGTTTCTCCGTCGCCTCGGTTGGATTCCCCGCGAGATTTTGTTCAGAAGTCATCCCTGGAGAGGTCCGGGGTCCGGGCCCACGATGCTTCCCACAGATACAGGGTCAGTGGCACATGCTGCGCGAAGTCTGCCTTGCTTGTGCAGGCGTTACGTGTTGTCGCGCGCGCCCGTTTGTC